TTAGTTAGTTAGTTAGTTAGTTAGTTAGTTAGTTAGTTAGTTAGTTAGTTAGTTAGTTAGTTAGTTAGTTAGTTAGTTAGTTAGTTAGTTAGTTAGTTAGTTAGTTAGTTAGTTAGTTAGTTAGTTAGTTAGTTAGTTAGTTGGTTGGTTGGGTTATCATCATTGCACTCCGGACATGTCCGTATGTGCTCAGATTCTCCCCTCATTATGAACCCCAGCGTCCGATGGCTAATAGTACCAGCTCTATGCTGATTAACAAGTCTTCTGGTGTGTCTACTGTGCGTCTCGTTTTTTCTATGCCGATCTTAATTCCGAAGTCCTCCATTCTGGCGAGTGATGTGGATTCTCTGCTTCCAAAGTCCTCAATCATTCCCATTTCTCTGAGGGCATTAGTAATATCAGCATGATCTATAGGCTGACCGACGGTAGTGATAGCGGATCCAGCCAACCTATCAGCTCTTTGATTCGAGTGTCTTGAGAGATGACATTACAACACACGAAGACCCACCCACAGCGGACTACATGTTACCTTGTAACCGTTGGGTGGTGCACCATTATAACTGGGCTATACGAGCATATGGTTGAGCGGAGTTTTTAGATTTGTGCGGGTCTGATTCTCATCCTTGAGATGTTAATCCTACTCACTGCAATCCTGGAAGGGAACAACTAACAAATAAGTCTGACCGCCTCTGACACAGCCACTTGATACTATTGTAGAGTTGCTCTCATTTTATCTGTCACGAGTAGTTAGAATCTTTTGGATATTTTCTCCTAGCATGCCGGGGTGTTGGGAAATAAGTAGGCAGATAGACTCGCTGGTTCTGCAACACTTGGTGGTGAATTGATATCTGACAAGCTAGATGGTGTGAGGGCCCTTTGGGAGCGAATGAACAGTGCGAAGGCACAGATAGATCGTTACGTTCTGAGTAGAATGGCGCTACGGGGAGTTACCACTGGCCGACGCTCAACACTCACGGGAAAGGCGAGGCGGGTATACAATTAAACAGTTACTGGTGCCATCGGAATTGGAACTCTTCGCTTGCTGCTGAAGATGGGGATAGAACGCTTATGGGAGTGCCCCGAGTTCTGTGATGTCAATTCCTTAATCAGCATTTTTATGTTATCTGTAAACTTTGTTCTTAGCATACCTTGACTCTACGGCTGTCTTCTTTGTTGGGGTATGACTGTTGTAAAACCATATTTTATTCTAAGGGAAACAATCACATTCATTTGTTAGAATATGACGAGTAGGTTCCCATATGTTTTCTTGAACCACATTTTGGGGAAAGATTAGGAATGCGTCCACTGCCTAAATGTAGTTAGAGGCGATTAATTTTGAGTTTGCTAAAATTCTATGTCTTCAACTTGAAGGCACACATTTGGCAGCCTAGCTATAAAACATGACACAACTAGCAAACCACCATTTTAAAGAGGTTTGAGGTTTTGAACAACGGATCAACATCATGGCATACGGGTAGCAGGCACTGTAGCACGGTCGAGAATCCTCAAATACTTTGGGTAGATTTTTAACTCCAAATTTTGCCCCGGCAGCGTCGTTAGGCTTCTTTTTTCGATTTCCAACTGCCAAGGGAATTTTTACGTGCGCAACAATGCACACGGACGTCCGATCTTACCAGGGGGTATTCCTAGATGTCATAGTTCACGTGAAAAAAATCGTAGCCCTTACTCGGGATTCAACCCGGAACCTCTAGCACTCTGGGCGGATACCGTGCCTCAAGACCACGCAGCCCCCTCATTGTAAAGATGGACGCTGTAGAAGTAAAGCAGTGGTATGTTGAAGTGATATGTTTGACAAAAGGTCCATCATCACCATCCTGTGCCTTGCCGACTGAGGTGGACGATTTTGTTTCTCCACAATCAGCGTCGTCAACAGCATGCATCAGTTCGTGTGCTGAGGCCCCTCCATGCCATCACTAAAGGTTGTCAAGAATAGTCTCACGTTGTCTTTCTCTTGTCTCTTTTGTTTTCCACATATCTTTCCCTGGTCACAAGATGTTCCTGTTTCATTCTGCTCGTAATATGAACAAAACACACACAAAATGATGGCTGTCTCTGATTGTTGTGATTAGTTTCCCAGGTCTACCAAGCCTGATCTGAGAATAGGAAATGATATTGAAAGTAAAGGCAACTTGCATAATGTTAACCACATCACCCATTTAGTGCCAGATGGTCAGTAGCGAAGAGCGATCAGTTCGCACGTGAATGCGCTAGCAGGTACAATACACAAATCACGTGATATTTTCTTCTACGTTGCTTTGCTGCTGAGAACATGCGTATGCAGTTAGAATTGTAGTATTAGTAACTGGTAGCTTTCACATGTTACAGTTTCTGAGCATGAGTGACATAAGCATACTGAGAACGTTCTTTTCGCTATGTTCGAGACGTAAACCGAGTTACGTATTTGTAATCAATAGTAAATACTAAAAATAAATAGCAAAGTATTCTTTGGCATTGGACAGACTTAGCGGTGATAACAGCCTGACTGACTGACAGCCTGATGACTGATTGACTGACTGACAGCTTGACTGACTGACAGCCTGACTGACTGACAGCCTGATGACTGACTGACTGACAGCCTGACTGACTGACAGCCTGACTAACTGACTGACTGACAGCCTGATGACTGACTGACTGACAGCATGATGACTGACAAACTGACTGACTGACAGCCTGACTGACTGATAGCCTGACTGACTGACAGCCTGACCTGAATGACCGACTAACTGACTGACTGACTGACAGACTTACTGACGTTCAACCCAACCAGGACATCACACTGAGCGACAAACACATGGTGACACAAAGTGCCACCATTCGGATGAGTATCACCAGGAGAAAGGTCCCAGAAACCCCAGAAACCATAGGTTGCGTTATATTAGGGCCCCGGGCAACAGCCAGGGTGGGACTCCCCCCCCCCCCCCAAAAAAAAAAAAAAAAAAAAAATAAAATTGCGCCCTACACAGGGATTGATTCTATTTGATTACAGCCCTTACATGCAAGCAAGCCACTGCAAACTGTGTATACTAATTATAGAACTAGCCATTTATACTCAGCACATCTCAATATTTGCTTACTTGATCTTGCTTTTTTTTTTTTAAATCCAGGGTGTTGGTGAAGAAGAACCAGAAACAAATTTACTTGGAGTTGTTGGAACAGATCTAAGAGTTAATGATCTCATGAAATTTATTCCGACATTTAAGGTAACAGTATTAATTCCCCTAGCTTCTAATATACTTCTAATGTAAAATTATACTAGATGGTTTCAAGTGACAACCTTACAACTGTGATAGACATGACAGAAACCATAGCATAGTTTTGTAACCTGTCAGTTTTGTTGTCAAGGATGTCAAGAGTGGTAAACACATGACAACACGGTGCAGACAAACACAGTGATGTCATAATTACAGTTTAAATATGACCGCTCCACTTTTGACATGCATCAAAGAAAAGCTGTGCTCTGCATTTCTCTTTCCGGTGCCTGATCTGAAACAGATATTGGTGATAACGACTATCACGTGATCTTTTTCATTTAATATGTCGACTAATTTTGGTAGTCATGTGTGTCCACAACCTTCTGTCTCGTGTACCTTCAATCACTTCTGACACAGAAGGTTTTTGATGCCACGATGTCAGACTGCCCAGCATCTTCTATCTTTCTCTCCCTCTCTCTCTATATATCCCACAGCTACTTCTTAGTTGCCCAAATGATCATGATTTATTTCCGTACAGCAGGATGTGATTTAGTTAGCACTTGAGAATTTTTTTTTTTTTTCTCTTCACTGTCAAAAAAATATTGCAAGAATATTCTTCATTTTGTAAAATGGTGTCCTAGCTTGAGCTGTTATTCATTATACTTCTGTAATACATCTTCCATCTGCAAAGAGCCATTTTATATTCACTTCCGTGCAAACAATATATGCTGGGGAGTATGTTGCTAAGAGGGTTTTCCATTTGTCTCACATTGTAAGTCCTTGGCTCATTGCGGAGTCTGCACTGTTGAGTTCATTAGTGCAGTTTTTAAGGAAATCGTTTAGGATCATCACTAGAGCTATAAGCTAGTGCTTTGTGTGAAACTCTTGGCAAGTGGCTAAGGGTCCTGAAGAGAGAGATGGAACCCTCTATATGTGTACCCACTCTAATTAAACGCCAGCACATTTTCTTCACCTCTTAGTCAACTAGAACTTCTTTTGTTCTATCCCAAAGCTCAACATTTGTGAATCTATCATATTGAATAATTCCTTTATATAAGTATAGTACAATACGTTTGTGTTTATTATAAAAGGTCATTTTTCACGCCTTCAGGTGTATAGGGCATATAGGGCTAGACCTATATTTTTGTAGACCAATCGGCACATGATGGGTGATGTAGTCAGCATCACGCCGACCGCCTTTACCTCCCGGGACCGGTACTCGGTTCCCACTCTAGGCTGGGTCGACCTGGGAGCTAAGGTCATTTTTGAAAGAAGTCTGGCTCCGCCAGGGAGCGAACCCACGACCTTCCGATCCTCATGCGAGCGTCTAGCCGCTCCGCCACGGCGACTGCCCCGACTAGAACAAATCTACCAGTAATCCAGATGCATTGTATTATTTTTTTTTTTGACTACTGTACCATCCTAGCACATTACACATTCTTTTTCTTCTTTATGTCCTCTTTTACCACTTCGGGTGTCGAGGGAGATATATGGTCCTGCTTCATGCTCTTCTGGTGGCTTCAACCATAAACACATCGTGGTGCTGTAGAGTTTCTCTGATGTTATCCTCCCATCTTGTTCTTGGTCTACTCTTGATCTATGTCCATCTCCTCTTTTGGTATATGCCCTGTATTACACGCTACACATTACACATTTAGAAACCAGAATGAAAGCCAGAAAACTTGCACTTGTTTATTTTTATTTCAATCTCAGCTTGGAGTAAATGGTTATGCTTTTGGTATTACCAATCACGGATATGTGTTATTCCATCCAGACTACAGACCATTTGTAAGTATTTCATATTGTGCCATATTTTGGTGACCACACATTCAGTTTTCACCGGGACATTACTGGGGTTTTTTTTTTTTTTTTCTTGTCTGCGTCCCAGCCTAAGGTGTTCAACAACAACAACAACAACAAAAAAAAAAAAACTGCATTGTCTCGTTTTATAACAAACAAAAAATTAGTTAGTTAGTTAGTTAGTTGGGTTATCATCATTGCACTCCGGACATGTCCATAGGTGCTCAGATCCTCCCCTCAGTATGAACCCCAACGTCCGATGGCTAATAGTACCAGTTCTATGTTGATTAACAAGTCTTCTGACGTGTCCGGTGTGCGTCTCGTTTTTTGCTGTGCCGATCTTAATTCCCAAGTCTGCCATTCTGGCGAGTGATGTGGATTCCCTGCCACCAAAATCCTCTATCCTTCCCATTTCTCTGAGGGCATTGATAATATCAGCATGATCCATAGGCCGACCGTCGGTAGTGATAGCGGATCCAGCCAACCTGTCAGCTCTTTCATTTCCATCGACGCCTGCGTGTCCCGGAACCAAAATAAAGGTGACTCCTCGCACAGTGGACTTCTGAATTGATTCAAGCCATTGTCTTCGCACTGAACCTGCCTGAACCCTCCGGATCATACTCATTGAATCACTGAGTATACATATGCGGGTGTATTTTTGTGTTTCAAGCCAGGCAAACGCTTGCGTCACTGCCATCACCTCCATCGTCATGCTGCTGGTTGTCATGGAGAAGGCACCGTTGGCTTCTTTGACTGTTCTGCCCGCCGAGCGTGCTGTAAATGCCCATGCGCTTCTTCTTTGGCGTATAACGGATCCGTCTGTATAGATTAGTGCATCTGCTTCGTCTGAATTTTCACCGATGAGAGCGTTGACCTCTGCATTAACAGCAACAGGATTCTCTTCTCTACATCGCCTGTTGAGTGTGACAATACAGGAAAATGTACAAATAAATGCCTGAGGCACAGGTATCCATTCTGCACCAGGTATGATGTCAGTTAGGCTGCATATTTGCCTAATAACATCTTCTGCCCGACCTAGCCACGATTTTCCCCTCTTCAGTCTGTCACCCTTTTCACTAAAAAGCGCTTGATGCAGTGGGTGTATCTTATCAGCACATATTTTGAGGTATGCACGAGCCCTCCACATCCTGATCCTTTGGTTCATTGTTGGGAAGTCTAGTAGATACCTCATTGCTCCACAGGATGTGTCTTTTGTACATCCCAAAATAATACGCATGGCTTCATTTTGCACCTTTTCGAGTCGTTCAATCTGGGTAGCACTGACAGTGAGGATGGCCAGAGCGTATTCAATGGGGGAAAGGACCAGACCGTAGAACAGAAGTACTAGTAGTCTTTGCTCGATATTGGAAGCAGCCATAATCCTCATTGCAGATAGACCTTTGCGTGCTTTTGTTATTACATGGTCAACGTGTTCCCTAAATGACAAGCTGCGATCGAACCTCACCCGAGAAAACGTCATAACGTTGGTTCTGATCAATACATTATCACGCATTTTCACTTCTGGTAAGTCCGACTTGACAATGTGATTGTTCAAAGAGAACCATGACACTGATGCCTTCGAAGGATTGACATAGGCATTGGAACCATCACACCAGGCGGCAATTCGATCGAGTTCTTTGTGCATTGTGCTGGCGATCTCCTGTCTATCACGCCCTCGTCGATAAATCAAAATGTCATCAGCAAATGACAAAGTCCTTCCCTTTCCATTCAACTGCTGCTCAGTGATCATCCCCGTATAAACGTTGAATAAGACTGGTGATAGCGGTGATCCCTGTGGCAAGCCTGGACATATCGTTTGGGGTTCTGAGGACCAGCTACCACATCTTAGTACAATCTTTCTCCGGAACAGGACCGCAGCAATCCAGCGGATCAGAATAGGATTGACTTCTAGTTTAAGCAGTAATTGCATTAAATAATCATATGGTACTTTATTGTAGGCATCTTCTAAGTCTAACACTGCCGCACATGTCTCTTCTTTAATCTGAAATCCCTCGTACACATCGTAGGCGAAAACAGCAGCATTGAAACCATGTCTCTTTCTTCAGCCTGTATCCTCCAAGTGTTGATGGAACTTATCATGTAGTTCCAAGTAGGTGGTCAATCTTTGTGCGACAATTTTTTCCAAAAGTTTGCCAACAGTATTCTGCAACGAGATGATTCTGTAGCCGCAGATCTTTGAGTGGTCTTTATTAGGCTTTGGTAGTGGGAACAAATAACTATGGAGCCATTCCTCTTGTATCTGGCCACTCTGGATGCTGATATTGAATTCCTTTGCCACGCTTTTCAAATCAGCATTCGACATCATCAGCATGTCATTGTATCGGATGCCGTCATGGCCTGGAGCAGTGCTGCGCGATTTCTTGAGGCAAGTTCTTAAGGTATCTGCAGTGATTGTGAAATCAGTGCCTAGCTCAGTGTTCTCGCACAGCATCGACAGTTTCATCTTAACCCCTATTCTTGCAGCTTCGTCTTTTTGGTCAGTTTGCTCCAAGTAGCGCGCAAGAAGGGTTTTTCCTTTATCAGCATCAGTTCTCTGCCATATTAGGTCTGTACCCTGAAAATCAGGGATACCCCTTGGTCGTGCGGCGCCGTGCATGCTCCGTTGAAGGCGCCAGAATGTCACAAGAGATCCCTCGGAGCAAACGCTCTTGCAGAATTCGTTCCATTTCGCTGTCTTGGCTTCTTTCGCAATTAACTTGAAATCCACTGTCCGCTTGGTGACCTCATCTTTCAGACTGATCAGGCGTTCAGAAAGTGACGGATCAATTTTCCTTGCCTTTTGCCATGCCTTGACAGCGTTCCTTTTTTCTAGCCACGCCATGTTGACTACTTCATTCCACCATGGTGGCTGGGCCCATCTCTCCCGCCGTCTGCGATCTGCTCTTGTTTTGCGTCGTCTGATTTTGCTAATGGCATCTTGCCCTGTACGATCATATATAAAAGCAGGCACATTGGTTACTTGACCTTTGTTGTTACTCTTCTCCACCAGGACTACGCAAGGAAAGTGATCACTGTCATGGTATCCCAGTGTGCTCCACCTGCATCCTGATGCAATGGAGGGGGACACTAGGGCCAGGTCAATTACGCTGTCAGAATCCCCTTGTCGGGTTGCCATTCGGGTAAACCTTTCCGTCGTTCAAGCATACTAGATCGGCAGACACTAGAGCATCCTCCAGGTCTTCCCCCTGTTTATTGGTGATTACATTGCCCCACTGGTTTCCTCTGGCGTTGAAATCTCCGCAGTAAAGGACTTTCTTTTCCTCAGTCTGGAGCAAACTCTGTCATTTCGCTGTATCCACCTTTCCATTGCAGGCGTACACATTGACAATCACAAACTGGGCCGGGCCCAACACTCTGACTGCGTGTACTTGTAGGTCGTCATTATCCTACTCAGACATGTCCACCTCAGACACCAGTATGTGGTCACGAACAAGAATGAGCTGTCCGAGCTGCCGTCTATTGTAGAAGGATTGGAAGCCCGCAATTCTAACGATCTCGTCACCGAGGTGTGTTTCCTGTAGGACAACAATGTCGTTGCTGTAGAGGAGCTTCTCGAATATGGGTCGGCGTTGACTGAAAGAAGCGCAGTTCCAGTAGAGAACGCGAACATACTTTAAGCTGAGTCTCTCACATTTCAGTCGCTTCCTGCAGGCGCCACCGTGCTTGCCTGTTCGCGTTCTCCTTGTCCGTCTACGGGTTGTTTTGAATTTGTAAATAGTCGCCATCGGACGTTGAATACACCCTGAGGGAAGTCTGAACTCACGTGCATGTACTCCATTGCACGGTTCAGACCCCATTCCGATGAAACTTTCACATTATACGTGAGCGAAAATAGTTAATTTGTGCCATTCGCCTCAACGGACGAAAAAGCGTGCCGCCATTGTGGCTGTTTACACCGGAAGTCCCAAACAAATAATAAAACAAAACAAATAATTAGCTGGGGAATAGAACATACACTTAAAGTAATATATGTAGGCCTTAGATTTTAAAGCTTCCAATCACTTTAATGCTTGAAATGTGTTTGTAGAAATTTTAATTGTATAATTTTTTTTCTCCAGCGTAATCATGGAGCATATTGTTTCATTTATATCTTAGGGACAATGAGTCTTGTTTTAATACCATTGTTAAACGAGTAATTAATCCTTTCACCCTAGTGCAAAAAAAAAAAAAAAAAAACGAAGGCATGATTAAAGTGGTTTTCTTGGGATGTCCCATTTTTAGTCACATCCTTTCTACCCTGGGGAAGTGTAAAGTTGTGCTAAAATAGATCTGGTTTCAACTACTCGTTCATGAGCGTATTTGTTGTTCATGATCAGTCATTTTTAAGATTGATTATAATTCTATCGCAATGTGTTACTGTGTCTCAGATTGCTTTATTCCCAAGCTAAAATGGGAACAAAGAAATGTTTGAGGAAATGACGGCAGCTGGGGTGGAAAGATAATTATTAAATCACCAAATATGAGATCTGCCAGATGTACCAAATATGCCCCAAGACATTCTTTTTGGCGATCTTCTTCTTCGTTGCTTTCGGTGTCGTATGCTCATGTAGGTTCTCTATAAACTCGCATGTCAGTAGCAGGTCCTTCATGGTTCCCCATAGCTTGATCTGCACACTGTGCTCTTGAGGTCAGGTCTCTTTTCGAAGTTGTAGCTAGAGTGGGCAGGTCTGCAGAATATGCTTACGTGTGTGTGGTCCTGTTTGGCAGGCACACTGTGGGGACTGTACAATCTATATTTTACGCATCTGGTAGTTGAGCCTGCAATTTCTTGGCGATCACCACCTTTAAAACTCAGCGTAAAATTCTGGTTGTTCATCCACTTCTGCATGTGGCTCACTCGTATGCAGACTTAATTCCTTGTTCTTTTGTACGATTAAATATTTTATAGTGCTCGCAGTCTGTATCTTCCGTACTATTCCGTGAAATCACTTCATATCTTGGATGAAATTCAGTCAAGCACCTTCGAC